CGTTGTTACTTTTTTTGGTCGTGAGCACTGTTGTTTAGTTTACGAGACCTTAATATAATTTTCAAAAATACATTATTTAATTGCTCCAAAAGATGTATTGTTAATTTTAAGATAGATTCAAAAGTTTTTCTTGATAACAGTTTAGCTGAATTAAAAATTTGATTACAGCAATTTTAATTAGCAACTTTGATGATTTTTAAAGACATTGTTTATATAAACTAGAAAAATAAAATTAGTTATCAATTTTGGTACGACATAAAAAACTTATATAAAATAATTTTAACTATTTATAAAAATTATTAAGTGTTGAAGCAAATAAATACTTAAAAAAAGCTTTAAAAGGTACACATAAAATATGGTGCATATGGACTTAGGTAAGCATTTTTTTTTAATTTTTAGATAAATCGTTTTCCTCCTTATATATTTATATATGTAAATTGCATGCTTCGAAATTTCATATGCACATAATTGTGTAAAAATATAAGGATACAGTTATATGTAGCACTTGAATTAATTATAATTAAATCTAATTTATAAATTGATGTCAATTTGTATTATCAAATTAGAATTAACAATAATAAAATAGTTCATGCAAACTTTTTGAATCAATTAAGATAATATATATTGAGCATTCTGTATCATTTATCAACGTAACTTTTATCATTTTCTAAATGTTCTTGATGATTCCATCGACATCATTAGCGCGTCTCTGTATTATATCCATTTTCTGTATACAAAATAATAACGATAATAAATAATATCTCGAACGTTCAGTTGATAGCAAACAAAAGTCATTAGCAATACACTTTGTAACAGTTTGCTGTAAACGAGGTGTGAATAGGAATACTATACTCTAGACACTTGTATCTATATATAGTACAGTGGGTTGGGTGGGAAGGTTCGTAGGTTTGTTATTTCACGTTGGAGTGGGTGGACATTTTTACCCCTATATATATATGTGGATATATTAAATTATGTTATCTAATCTTTAATTAAATCAACACACCCTATCGTTTACCTCAACTATGTTCCTATGTCAACACGAATAAAGCCACTAAACGTGGAGCACGTTCCAAAATCCGAAATAAAAACAAAATGACAAAATAATACACCAACACGGAATATGTACCGTATAAACGAGTATCTACATAGAGAATTTCAGATTTACGAATGAAAATTATCATGATTTATTTGCGAGAAGCAGAGTTCGTTTTTCCTGGGCGCTTTTCCGCCTCTTTTCCACTTGCAAATGTATATCATTGCTGCAGCAGGGGTAAGGGAACTCTCTTGCAAAAGAGTGAGTAAATTGCATTGCTTTTTGACTTCTGTTTTGTATTATTTATGAGAATAAAAGATGTTAGAGATTGTGCGAAGGATTTTTAGATTGTACACAAATATGAAGTAACAGTTTTGGATGATCAGATCGTAAAGGGGTGTTTTAGGACATGCAAGCATGTATTTGTGTATTATAATTAATATAATTAGTAAAACTAAGAAGGCGTTTAAAAGATATATTTTGAACGCATACACGTAGTCAAATTGACTATATAGTCAATTAGTTATTGACTATATAATTAAATTTGATATTAGGTTGTCAAATATCTCCCTTCCGCCTTTTTGTATTATAAACCAATAGCAAAAAAGCGGAAGGGAGATATTTGACAGCCTAATATTTGGAAAAATTACCTACTTGTGATATTTTTCAAGCATAAAAATATGTTTTATTTAAATCTGACAAAAATACTAATTTTAATAAATTATAGTAATAATGACCTTAAATATGATTTAATCATATCATTATTAAAATTATTTATTTTTATTTAAATTTCGTAAAAAATACTTTTTTGTAATGCATTTTTGTGATACATTTAACATTATTTATGTTGTTCCAATTTAGAATTAACTTGTTGTGTATGGCATTTTGCCTAAAGGCAAGATGCTGGAACTTCCCGTACCATATCAAAATGTTCGAGAAATATTAAATGTTTTTAAATAGATTATTATTAATATTGTAACAATGTCTAATATTTACAAAAATTATATAAACGGAATTGCCAAGTTGAAATTATTTGTTTGAAGTATATTAGAACTAAAAATATGCTAACTTTAGTCAGTACTAAAATTAAAATCTGAATTATGTTCGATATGCAAAAAAAAAAAATATTAAAGAAAATATTTTTTTTCAAAAGCAATTATTTTCTTAAAATAAACAGAATTTTTATTTTGAATCATTTAAATCGGATGCTTAGTTATCTCAAAAACTGCTATTTTTGGCACATTTACATCGGTATCTCCAAAACGGCTAGACCTGCCTTTGTCAGAAACTAATCATCACTTCTCCTCGATTCCTCCTTTCGATTGTTTTTTGGACCATTCAAATCGGATGCTTCATTCTCTCAAAAACACGATTTCTATTTTCTGCACTTTTTGCTCCGTATCTCCAAAACGGCTGGAGCTGCCTTTGCCAAAAACTAATCAGCACATCTCTCTAGCAATAGGAATCGAATGTTTTTTCAATCATCCGAATCGGTAGATTCGTGCGCCAGAAAAGATAGAGAAAAAAATTTATCCATACATGTATACACACACACATCCATTTTTTCTGAGGTGTGCCAAAATGTTCAGAAACCTTCAAAACATGAAAAAATGTAAAAAATTTCAATTGGATTCAATTTGGATGATTACAATGACACAACCTACGGGAAGTTAATAATAAAAATGCGTTTAAGAGATATTGATTGGAAATCGTAATATTAAGGTTTAATTGAAAGCGAAATCTTTATATTCGAAATAAACAGGTAAAAATTTTATCTAAATAGCCTAATCTTAATTTTGGTTTATTTTCAATTATTACGCAAATCGGAAAATTTATACAATTTGTCAAATGTCACTTTCACCTAGTTTGAATTTCATTTCTAAAACGAATAAAATGAATCCCTTTCTAATAAATCGCCATCTCGCCTCTCCATATAATTTTCTCGTCGGTTCTTCACCGACGGAGACGCATGATGAAGTGTGAAAATCGTGCGAAAAAACTCTCTCTTCTTGAGCCTCCAACGCCGTCGGAAAAGGAGTCGAGATTATTCTGGAGAAGAGCCAAAAACTCGAGCCCGGAAAATTGCCCATAAGTTATTTAGAACACTCAGATTACACTATCTCAACAGGCCCCCCCCTATCCTCTACACCCGTCATCGTCATTCCGACAACATTTTCAGAATTAATACACACAAATTCATAATACACACTCGGATTTATATATATATATATATATATATATACATGTGTGTGTGTGTAGGAAAAGGGAAAAGAAAAAACATATGTTCAGAAGGCGAGAATTATTTTTCATACGCAGAGATAAGGAAATTAATTATTTAAGAAGGGTTTTTGTCTGTAACGTACGGGAGTTGGATGTAAGTGTGCAAAGTGTCTTCAAATTATATAATATTTATCATAGATTAATTTAACATACTAATACTAATATTTATCCAAAAATGGTATACACATATTTTGGAAATTTTCTGTTTTTCTCAACAATCTAGTGGAATCATTATAGAAATTCTTTCAAAGGAAAATATAATTGTTTACAAATTTTTAAAATTAATTTAAACAAAATAAATAATGTTAAATATATGCTGTTAAGATGCATCACAAAAAGATAAGTTTTACGAAATATAAATAAAAATAATTAATTTTGATTATAAAATACTTAAATCAATTAAAAATCTAAATTACTAAATTCTATTAGAATACATTCGCTCTGATTCATTTATAATGTAATTTTATAATTGATAAATATTATTAAAAGTGAGTATTAGAAGTAATTTTTCCAAATATTATATTAGGTTGTCAAATATCTCCCTTCCGCTTTTTTGCTCTTGGTTCATAATACAAAAAGGCGGAAGGGAGATATTTGACAACCTTATATTTTACTATATTTAAAAAAAATATGCTAATGTTATTAGTAGCAAATATCATACTCTTTCAAAATATTATTTTATTTAATTGATTTTTTTTTGAATAAAATTATCTTTATATTATTAACATCTCAATAAACTATATTGATTAAAGGAAAAGAAATATAAATAAAATTAAACAATTTTAATAAAAAAATAATTAATTCACATTTAATGTCATTATTACTATAATCTATTAAAATTAATATTTTTCAACAGACCCATAATTGATAAATATTATTAGAAGTAAGTAATTTTTTCAAATATCATATTTTACTATATTTAAAAAAATATGCTAATGTTAGTAGCAAATATCATACTCTTTTAAAATCTTATTTTATTGGATTAATTTTTTTTTGAGTAATTAAAATGAGTTTTTGAGTAAATCTTTATATTATTAACATCTTAATAAACTATATTGATATTTTGTTAATAAATTAGGAAACAGTTAACACTCAAAATTTCTATCAAGTATTAAAATTGATATTTTATAACTTATTTGTTTCTATTTATATATAAAATAATTTTATGACTTTTAAATATTAGTAAAAGTAAGTAATTTTTCCAAATATCATATTTGACTATAGTTTTACAAATTTTTAAAAATATAAAACAAGTATACTAATGTTAATACCAAATATTATAGTTTTTCAAAAAAAAATTTTTATTTATTTCAAATTATTTTCAAATAAATAATAAATTGAAGAATGAATAATTATGACTATTATCTATTAAAATTAATATTTTATAACTAATTAATTTATATTAATTTACATTCTAATTTATTTTCTAATTTATTTATCATCTATTTATGATTGATAAATACAGTTTAGAGTAAATATTATTTCTTATTACTATATTTTGTAAATATTTATAGGAAATTTTAATATATTAAAAAATTTCTATCCAGTTTGGATCTGGTGATGATATCAATTTTTGTATAAAAGTGGGGGTATTGTAACTCAGTATAAAACTGAGAATTTTTTATATAATATTTCTATTTCGACTGCTTATCCCAAGGAGTAAATAATGTACAATCAGAATATTGTTATGTAAAATTTCTTATCAGAGAAATAAATGATTTTATACCGACAACAAAAACATACTAATGTTAGTTGGAAATATCATACTTTAAATAATTTTAAATATTATATTTCTAAATAATTTTTCTTCATACATTTTGTTTAATAAATTTTTCATTTAATATATGTAATATGAACACTAATTTGAGAAAGAAATTAATTATAAAAACAATTAAATTTTAAACTTTTCTTTTAATATTACTTATATAATTTGACAAAATCTTTTAATATTACTTATATAATTTGACAAAATCTAAAATGCAAAATACTAATTTAATTTTTCTTTTTTTCAGGTGAGTAAACAGTGATGTACTTTTATTTGTGTGTTCTAAGATGTTTAGGTAAGCAATATTTTACAATTAGCATTTATTATTTTTCAATAATTATTATTTTTCAATTAAATACTCTAATTTGTATTAAATTTGTCTCTTGTCATATTATAAAATATATGCTCAAATCGTTGATTCCAACAAATCACAATTTTTCTGTAAATATTAAAATATATTTTACACACACGTTGTCCAAATGCATGCCATTCCAAATTTTAAAAATTATTTTCACGAAAAGGTTTCTAAATTCTATTTATATCACAAGGGGTATGTGATATAATGCTTAAAATAAATACAAATTTGCTCATTCATTGATCAATACATTTAACCTGTAATTATTTTTCATTCATTTACAAATCAGAACAGATGGTAATAGTATATGATATTGAGAGATTTTTTAAATATTTTGTAAAATTATTCTAATTCCAATAATGCAAATTAATAACATTGATTTAATTAAATTCAATGCCTTATATTATACTTATTCACAATGAATTAAAAATGTGAAAACACTCAGTTTTTAATAATTTTATATACAAGCAATCAGAGTAATTGATGGAATTCTATAAAATGCAATTTATTTTGAACAAAGCCGTAATACAGAAAAAGAATCAAAACTACAGAAGTTGTTTTAGTAAACAATAAGCTATTGAATATGAATGTAAATATTTAGTTACTATTCATCAATTTAAAAGAAATCGCGTCCCACGCAACACCGGTACGGTAAAATTATTTTGACCTGAAACAATGCCTTGTGTTAGGTTAAACGCAAATGCCGCGTGCCGGCTTAATATGCGACGAGGCAAATACTGGTTTTATGATGAATTGAAAATAAAATACGGAAGTTAATTATGCATATATATATATATATATATATATATATATATACTTACATACATACATTTAAAAAAAATTCAAAGTAAAAATAAATATATATTGATGTAGTGTTTCAATTCCACCGCACCCAATTTTAATACGATTTTGCAAATTCTCTTCGGGCAAAAAGTGCCCATCGTCTATACCTTCTATACCTATTGTTTGTACAGTTTGTACGGTACCGGAATACGGTTTATTTGCCGATTGAGATAGATTTAAAGTGGATTACGACGAGATCCGTGTATCTCCCATATACCTACATATACCTACTTCTACTGCTATATATCGATGGATTTGATATTTCGTTAGAAATGATACTGTACACACATAAACAAATAGAATCCACCAGGCAATATTACAATACACCCCTTATTTATTTGTCTGGGCGGAAAAAGGATAAAGATTTGAAGGAACGCACGTGGAACATTTTCTGGGGGGAGGATTGGGGGAAATATGATTTTTTTATTAGTTTAAAACGCAAGTATTGCGATCTAAGTCTCGACTTAGAATACTTACTTCAGTTTAATTTGAATAGGGGTGATTTATTATTTAGTATTATTATTTTTTTATCTTATTTATTAATTAATATAATAAAAAATATGTAATGGCTTAATGAAAAAAATCTCCGAATGAAATGAAAAAAATACATCGAAATATTTTTTTTCAGTTCTAAGATACGGGTTTTCTAAGACCTTTATTATTCAATGGAAATTTAGTCTGATTTTATCTTGCCTTAGGCTTATTTAGTATATTTTTGTAGCAAATATAATGAATTAAAATATGGTGAATTTTTAATAAATTCTATCTGTCCTGTACAAAAGCTATACATTTTTTTTAAGAAATTAAACTTCTACTACCAGATAAATTTTTTGGTATGCAAATTATCAATATATATATATATATATATATATATATATATATATATAAGCAAGCAAGTTCAAGACAAATAAACAATGTAAACATTTTTTTTTTAAAAAAAATCTATTTACTATAACCTACCTTACGATAAGTTAATTTTTTTCAGTTTTGATTTTTTTTGCATTATGTGGGATATGATGCAATATATATAATTATGTACATATTTTTCTACCCTAAGGAATTTCCTTATATTTAGACTTTCTTTTAATTCAATTGGACTAAATGTTGCAGCATTATTTTTTTAGGGGGTACGACTTAAGCAACCTTATTTTACATAGTTCAGAAAAAACCTTATCTTTAAATCATAATTCAGAGAAATAATATTTTTTTTAAGAAACTAAACTTTTACTACCACATAAAGTCTAAAATTAATTTAACAAAGTTTATGTTGCAGATTTTTTTATACTTAATATTCATTAGTTGAAATTCGTTTTTTTTTATCTTATTTCATATTAGAAATTGAAAAAATAATAAAATTAAAAAAAATGATGTAGTCAATCTATTTTTACTATAAGAGCACATTATTGATTATTATAGATTTATAGTAAATTTTTAATAAATTTAAATCTATTATGTATAAATTTTTAGCACTCTAAATTTTTGTAGAAATTGAAATTTTAGTATCAGGCAAATTCTTTATTTTGCAAAATGATTTTGTTAATAGTTAAAATACCTGTTAATTTTCTTTGAAAAATAGTTTTACTGTGATTTATAGAACATTATGAATTACTATGATTGATTATATAAAATCATTAAAAAAGTTATTTATTTTTTATTTTCACACCGATAAAAATTTTGTTGAGAAATATTCCAACTAATACCTACCACATGCAAATCTTTGTTATGCAAAAAAATCCATAACTAGTGGTGTATGGCATCGTGTCTTAAGGCAAATTGCTGGAACTTCCTGTACCAAAAATTAAATTTAAAAAAAACATTTTGATATCAAAAACTATTCACACTTCTTCCTAGCAATCAAATAATTTTTGAATCATTTAAATCGCTTAAACTGTGTTCCCAAAATCGTCAACAAAATTTTATATTCGAACACACACTCACACACGCACAAATACATCAATTTTTCCAATGTACCTACGCCAGAATATTTATATAAAAAATTTTCATTTTCGATTTTTTTGTGATTACTATAAATTACTCTACGGGAAGTTAACTAATTGAATAAAGTTAACAATTTTTGGAAACTTGTTTAATTTTTTGATAAATTTAGATTCACTACATCTTACCAAAAAGAGTACACCATTCAATCGTCTTATTTTATAAAAAAATATATATATATATTTTAAATATCTAGTATAAAAACTAGAAGAATGTACTCTCAAACCTTGGATAATGCTTAAAGTAATCAATTTTTAAAACAGGATAAGCGCCATTATTCGAAAATCTTTTTTTTTTTTTTATTTATTGATATATTATTTTAATATCTCAGTCAGGCAGGGGTGCCTGATATTAGAGATTATGAAACAATTTTCATAAAATTTCCTAAAATTTTTCATTAATTAAACAAATATGCCCAAGATAAAATGCCTTACCAATATCGACTAAAAATATACGATTACCTCATAAGTGTATTAATCTAATAAACCTAATCCCCCATTATTTCGGTAGGTATGTGCTATGCAAAATAGTTGCACAATTTGATTCCACTATCATTATTATCATATAATAGTTGCAACAAGTTCACATCCTCATCCTCTATCTATCTCTGGGTAGTATATTATTGTTCGAAATATTTGCAGAGCAAAAGCACGTAATATTAAATAACTGAAAACGTATAAGCGTATGATGCATATAAAATATTTGTCCTATTATTTAATAAACATTCGGCGTTGTTGTAATATATGAAACAACGAACAAACAGCCCGTCTAGCCCGTTTTGCCCGTTTTTGCCCCCCGACCTGTAGTATAGTCGGGCTTATTAAAAAGCTCGCAACTATGGAAAGCTTTTCGAATTATTATGTACCTCCGAAACAGTGATGGCAAAGGTAATAGAAATATGTTGTAAAAATTATACAGAATTAAAATTATTCAAATTTAATATAAACTTAATGTCATTGTTTTTAGATTTTCTATAAAAATTGATTCTAACACCCAAAACATGCAATTGAATTTTCATCGACAATTTTGTTCGCAGAATCACTTTTTTCATAAAAAAATTAAATATTACATCATTCTTACATTGACACTGTATTTGATGATATTTAATATTTAAAAAAATTATGCAGGTTTGACATTATTTAAATTTAAAAGATGCTTAATGTCATTGTTTTTATATTTTCTATAAAAATGCATTCCAAGATACAAAACATACTATTGAATTTTCACCAACAAATTTGCAGAATCAATGTTTTTATAAATAAAAAATATCTTTGAAAATTTTATAAAAATAAAATGACCAGAACTTTGTTTAAAAATGCGTGGATAGATATCTTTGAATATTTGATAAAAATAAAATTTGATAATTTAATGTTTATGCATATTTCATGACAGAATTGCCTAAGTCGTACCCCTACTATATTTAATCTAAATTAGTTTAGTAAGCAAATGTTCACAATTATGAAGCAGAAAAGGACTTTTCAAAGGAGAAATAATTAGAAAATAGAATTTTGTAAAATTTTTACTAATATTTTTGACCCGCCTATTATGTTAAAAATATTTTTAAGTTTTTAATCCTAAGTAATTAATTATATTACTTATTTGATCCTAGTGTAGGTATATGTGTTTTAATGGTAGAATTTTGCTTAGATTATGTCGTTGGTTTTAATTTCAAATTTCAAGGGCCCTGTAGTTTAAGTCGTACCTCTGTAATTTTGTAATTTAAATAAAATTTGTAATAAAAAAAACAGTAAATATTTATCATACTAGATTGAAATTCAATACACGTAAAAGATTTTATTTTAATTTAATTGCACTAAATATTATATTTCAGCAATATTTTGGAAAAACCCTCGATATTGTTGAGAACCTGTTAATTTTGTTTCTGTAGTGAAAACAATTTAAACATTTCAAAGAAAAAATATCAAGATATTCAAAAGGCTGTATGTGGTACGACTAAGGCGACTAGGCACATATATAAAAAACGCAAACATGCCTAATTTAATAAAACAATAATCAGTGAATATTTATCATTCTAGATTAAAATTTATTACACGTGAAAGATTTTGTTTTAATATAATTTCACTAAATATTGCTGCATTATTTTCTTAGGGGGTACGACTTAAGCAACTCAATCCTACATAGTTCATAAAAAACCTTATTTTTAAATCTACATAGTTCAGAAAAAAATCTGATTTTTAAATCTACAATTTCGGGAGTTTACGTGAAACTAATTTATTAATAATTTTAATTTCTTTAATGACGATTGTAAATACTTTTAAGCCGAAACGTATAAGTTATATAATTTTTCTCTTATATATTCTTGTTTTTATATAGTTTTTTAATGATAAAAAATGTTTAAGTACCTTTAAGTTGATTAACATGTCTTGACTATTTTGTACGTTTCGACTCTGTATGTGTGCCATCACTCAGTCAGTCATCTTAAATACCATTATTTTACTTTTTTCATTCTTCTCATATAAATTAACGAAACTCTAAATTCTTTAATAGAACTTTTAATACTCGCTCACTTTCTACTTATGAATTATCATTTTTTTAATAATTTGGTTAAGGAAAAATAAAATATTAATAATTATAAATATTTTTTTATCCTTTTCCACCACTGCTCAAGGCACACACCATCGAGTATATGAAAATTCCAAATATGTAATATGTACATTAGCCGAACTCCGAAGGCAAACAGAACAGAATTTTAGTCAGGAAAAAATAAAAATAAAAACGAAAAAGTCTACGAGATGATTTTCATATGTTTTATAACATTTTTTGATCTGCTGTCAAATTGGATCTGTTCAAATATTTACTAACGTGCCATATTTATTTCGTAAAGAAATAAAAATAAATATATAAATCTTTCACATATACAAGTAACTAAAACAAAAACGTATATACTACATATATTTATTAAAATTTCTTTAAATTTTGAAGTTATAATATTTATATCATCAGCTATATTATTTATATCATCAGCTATATTTATTAATAATTTATTAATATTTTTTATAATTTTTTTTCTAGAATTAATAAACACTTCAAAAATGTTTTATTTGAAAATTTGAGTTTCTACAAATAATATTATCAATTTAAATTTCTTCTATATCCCTTCTGAAAAATATAGTACCATTTTTGTTTCAAAATATCATTTTTATATCTGAAATAAAAAAATATATATAAACATGTAAATTTATCAAAAAATCCTAAAATATTAGAACTAACTACTTGCATATTAATTAATATAATGCCTTATAATTTTGTCTCTGAAAAAGTTACTTTTTTTAAATGATATTTACAAATCAATTAGTAAAGTTATATATTTTTCATTTATTTTATACATATAAAATAATTGTTACAATGTTATTTACAATCTCAAATCTTAACAATCTACTTTGTAAGTACAATTTAGTCTCAAACATAAATATGGATTTAATATCGAAAAGGCACGTTTAGCATTAATAACTATTTAGTTAAAACATTTTTTTAAACAAAATCTATACTAAAACTAAATTAAAACCCCTGTAAAAATATTAATAACTAAAATAGAAGTAATAATTAGGTAAAACTTTGGAGTATTTATTAAAAGTTTCTAAACGAGTAAATTAGTGAAACATGTCTTTTATTATTTGTTCAAGTTAATTCTATTTAATAATATAATTATATATTTTATAGTTAATATTTCAGAAGCTGCTTGATTCGAATTATTTGTTCAACCGAGTATTATTATATAATATGTATTAAATTAATAAAATAAAAATTCATTAAATTAAATTTTAAGAAAATCATATTTGTACTTAATAATGGCTTAAATTTTCAAATAAATATCTAAAAACAAATCTAAGTAAACAATGTAACATTCGAGTCCTTATATATAAGTATGGTCAATATAATAATAATTCCAATTGTCCAATTTTCATCCAAAGAATCTTGTTTTAACAAAACTGCCTGCAATACGAAATTAAAATTAACTCAAAAAATATTTTTTTAAACAAATCCCAATAATAATTTTAACCATCACGAGAGTAATAAATTAAATGCACAGACAAGTACCAAATATTATATAAATCCCCAGTTTTTTTTGTACAAAATTGTTTTATTTACATGGAGCATTGAATTAATAAAATTCAAACCATTTTGAACAAACATGAATAATTAAATTACCATTGACCATATATATACAAACATAAATGGGAATGAAAATGAAAATGCAAGGCATTGTTTATATTACTATCACCAACATATATACAAATTTATATATATATATATATATATATATATATATATATATATATAAACATACATTGAGCATTGCAGTTTGATGTAAAATCACCAATTTTTTATACTTTCATATACATATACTTGTCTATAAATAAATTGCATTATTATAAACAAAAATTATTTTCTCTATTTATAAAAATCTTAATGGCAAATATTAGAGAGCTTATATAATATAAATATAAATTCGTTATATATGTTTTTCAATATTGCAGTTCGATATACTTAATATTATTAAATTTTAGAATATAATTGGAATTATTTTTTAAATATTACTAAAGCTACTGATTATTATATAATAGGTGCCAAAAATATTACGTGTGACGTATTAATTTTTTATCACATTTTGTGGAATATTGCTTATAATATTATAAACCTCATTATATAATATAATATATATATATATATATATATATATATATACATAAATAATAAAAACAGGCATTATTCTAGATAATGGAAAGAAAACTAAATTTTTGTACTAAAAAAATGTAATAGACTTCTATACGTTTCGAGTCCTAATTTGACTCTTCTTCAGCTGATAAAAGTACTTAAAATTTAATTGGATAATCAGATTTTTTATATTAAAATTATACTATGTTATACATTTAACTCTTTTTAATTAAATATTATTAATTATTTTTCACTAACATTATGTAATTCAAGTTTTTCAATAAATGTAGATTTATGTTTTTTCCAAAAATTTGTATTTTTTACACTGAAGAAAAGTCAAATAACGATTCGAAACGTACGCAAGCCTATTATATTTTTTTAGTATGCCTGTTCGAGAAGTTTTTTTGTTTTCATCATATTATTTACCTATTTATTAAATTTTTTGTAAATTAAATTTTAAAACAAATTTTAATGCTTAGCATAGTCATATATTTTGAGCTTTTAATAAAAACATATTACATTTTAAATAAAAATATCGATAGTAATTCTTATAAATTGAGTATAAAAAAAACAAAACGAGTAAATCGAGTGTTTGTCGGATTCTAAGAAAAAAACGTCTATATGTTCTAATAAAAATTTGTAATAAAATTAAAACAAATTAAAATGATTTAAATCGGGTTGTATAATTCGAGTAGATAAAAATAATAATTAATTCGAGTATTTAATTTATTATTATTTAATCAATTTACTCTGCGAGTCTATAAAATTATAATTTCTGTTGAAGTACGAAGTTTATATAGAATATTTTTCTTCTATAGACAAAACGTAAATGAAATAATTTATTAAAGAATAAAAATTGCATGTACTTTTTTTCATTAACCGAATAAAAAAATACAAATGAATATGTACAAAGTCTAAAAAGTAAACAAATTAAGTAATTTTTTTTTTGTTTCATTTAACCTCATCCTATCATTTTAACAAAGTTTATATGGAATATTTTCCTTAGACGAAACGTAAATGGAATAATTTATTAAAGAATAAAAATTGTATGTACTTTCTTTCATTACCCAAAATAAAAATTACAAATGAATATGTATAAAGTCGACAAAGCAGATAAATTGAGTTTTTTTTTAAGTATTAACGTTATCCAATAACTTCAAGCTTCAGCAGTAAATTGTTTACATCACAATATTAGTGACAAAATTATTTTCAATATAAAATTTTTATTATTTACATATTAAAACACATTTTGACAAAACCCCCAAACATGCCAAATATCCCAGTCAAAGTATTGCATAACTCTCCTGGATAATTTATTTAAAAATTTTGATAAAATTTAGAACAATTATGATAATAATTTATAGTTATTTAAAATATTCTAGAATGTGAAAATATTTATATAAAATATAACAATAGATGTTATTGTAAATGCTTGGAATTCGTTAATGCAATACTTTGGTATTTGATAACAAATTTATAAACATGTAACAAACACAAATGTTAGCACAAATATAAATGTATAAATGGAGAATTTGTGAATATGCAAAATTTTAATTGGAAAATATTAACTCCGAATAAAGAACAAAATAAATACACTACATCAGAATAAAAATAATTATTTTTTAATGATTTACTAAAAAACTTTCTGCTTGTGTTGACGAAACAATTGCTAAACGAAACAATTGAAAAGATTTTTGGGGAAAGATTTTTTTTAATTTATTTTGTTTGAATATCGAAAAAAAATCGAATTTTAATTCTGATTCTAGCTAAAGTTCTATACATTTAAATAATTATAATAATCTATTTAAAAACATTTAATATTCCTCGAACATTTCGTTACGGTACGGGAAGTTCCAGCAATTTGCCTTAAGGCACGATGCCATACACCACTAGTTTTAATTTGAATGAAGATAAACGTTAAAATATTTAAATACAAACCATAATTGTAATTGTTTTAGTCAACGAAATACTTCAGTAAAAACAAAATATTTTAATTAAATTTCTCATATCAATTTATGGAAATAAATAATAAAATGATACACTAATTTGAAGACCTCTAATTAACTAGTATCGGAGTTAATATTATCCCATAAACTTTATATATATATATATATATATATATATCATAATATATATCTATACTATATATCTTTATATTAGGTTGTCACATATCTCCCTTCCGCTTTTTTGCTCTTGGTTTATAATACAAAAAGGCGGAAGGGAGATATTTGACAACCTTATATGACATAAAATAATCATCGAACAAGCAACTCAATAATTAAAAACATTAGCGGATAACTCTTTTCTGTTACCACTTATGTTTGTAATTATCTTTTACAATATAATTTATCCCAAAAAAAATTCATTTATCAACTCACAAATCGGTAACAGGTCCGGACATAGTAACATATCCATTATGGCTCTGCGAAGCTGCACTTGTAGGCGTCTGACGAGCTCGCAATTCTAATGTAGAAGTATTCAAACTTTGTCCTGTTAAAGAATGATTTCGAGAAATTGGACTGATTTGACTTAATGCTGTTGCTGTTGCTGTTGTTGATCAGAATTTGCCGAATCGGTATCGCCGTTCATTGAGGCTTGGTGCAACTTTTTGCGAAGGATGGTCACTAGACGTTCGTTACTGGAATAGATAGAAATTTGATATGATATAGATAGAAAGTGCTAAGGAGTGCAAAAGTATTAGTTAGTTTGCTTACTTTTTAGATTTTTCTATAGCTTCATCCCGGCTAGCTTTAGCTTCTTGTACTTCGCGTCTTAAATCAAGCAATTCCATTTCAATTTCGCGATCTCTTTCAGAATCCAACAATTTGCTATCGAACGAGCGAAAACGTTGAATTGTACGAGGGCCTGTCGTCCCATTATGTAAATATGGCATTCTACAAAATAAAACAACATTTAACTAGTGGTGTATGGCATCGTGCCTTAAGACAAATTGCTGGAACTTCCCGTACCGTATTGAAATATTCGAGAATTTTTAACACTATTCCTACCGACATTTCATGTTTACTATTCCTACCGCAACCGGTCATGCAAAATCTATATTTTTCAGTATTGAATGAAAAGTCAATGCTAGTTTAAGAGTTTATAAATACAAATACAAAATATTTCTTTTATTTTAGAATGCGAAATCTACATTTTATTCTGTTTTATCCAATTTTTTACGATTTTTTTCTTAGAGTGTATTTTCTGCACACGCATTTTTTACGTTTTTGGCTGATTTTGTTCGCCCTATTATCTTTCTAAAACATTATCTGGAATATTTTCTTTTGAAGAGTCTGTTTTGTACTTGTATTTAGTTGATTTTTTTCTGAATTCTTGTTGGAACTATACGTTAAGTTAATTGGAATAGAAAGTTCCTGCCTTGTACATCGTCTTCCCGTAATTTCTTTATGTGAAAACAATAGATTTATCCTGAATAAATTCTCTCTAAAATTCATATTTTACGGAATGATTTCATCATATATTATTACAAATACTGTAACTTTCATTATTTTTGCTATCTTGTTATATCTGAGCAAATCAAATGTAAATTATAAATAAATCAATTTATCTCCTGAACATTAACAATCGTCATTTCATTTCGAATTCAATTTCAAAAAAAATTACACAAAATTGAAAAAGTGCTCCCGTATAGTCACAATCTAAACGCATTTGCAAATAATTCTGTGCGACATTTTCACTTGCACTGTGCTTAGCTTGGCGGCATTTTCACATTTTTCAATTTCACCAAATTGGAAAATTGCTCCAATACATAAACAGTCTAAACGCACTTGGGTAAACATTTGTACTAGAGTGGCGCTTAGACTGTACTTAGCCTGGGTAATTTTTTGAATTTTTAATCCAAAATTCTAATTAATTAATTAATTAATTAATTTTTTATCCTCAAAAACAATTGTTTTGACAATACAAGCAGAAAGTTTTTTAGATGATTCAAATCGGACGCTTAGTTCACTCAAAAACTGCCATTTTTTGCACATTTAGCTCTGTATCTTCGAAATGGCGGGACCTGTCTTTGCCAAAAACTAATCACCTCTTCTCCCAATCATTACAAATTTAATGTTTTTTAGATCATTCAAATCCGATACTCCGTTCTCTCAAAAACTCGATTTGTATTTTCTGCACTCTTTGCTCCGTATCTCCGTAACGGCTCGACCTGCCTTTGCCAAAAACTAATCAGCACATCTCCCTATCAATAGGAATCGAATGTTTTTTGAACCATTCAAATCGGTTGATCCGTGCGCCCGAAAACGTGGACGAAAAAATGCGGACATACAAAACACACATACACACACGCATCTGAGGTATGCCAAAATGTTCAGAAACCTTCAAAACGTCGAGAAAAGCAAAAATTTTCATTTTCGATTTACATATTAATATACTTACTCATTTTGCAGTCTCAAGGTTCTAAGATCTTCCTCAAGTCTCTCCAAACGACATTCTGTTTCAAGCTTGTTAATTCGAGCTTTCTGAAAAATTAAATTTAGCATTAAAATATATCTTAAAATTAAGTGTAGGTAAATAAAAATTCACAAGTACCGTTAATTCATGTATGTCGCGTCCACTTTCTGAAATACTATCTAGTCCGTTCATATTTCCATACAAACTATTATTCGCAGCCCTTTCATCCATTAGTGATTTAAATCTTAACATAAATGCTTCTTCACGTACCTAAAATATAACACCAAATATTATTTTTTGCCATCAAAATAAAAATATGTCAAATGGTTTAGTGTTTTTCTGACCTTTGTGGAATCGCGTACTTCACGAATAGCATCAGCAAGCATTCCTGGTGTATACGTCTGATTTCCTACAGGTAAAGGAGACGCTGGTGCAATTGTTGTAGCAGGTGTATTTTGTCTAGCCCATGCTGAGTGCTGCTTAACCTGTTCTAATTCACCTAAAAAATAAATTCAAATTTATCAATACAAATGCATTTAATGCAATAAGTCCTATTATTAACTTACCCCTCATTTCAAACATATCTCTATTCAATTTTGTTGTGATTTCCTTTAACGAATGTATCTGTTCCACCAAAGTTGTTATAATTTTCTTCGGCACTGAAATTAAATTAGAACTACCGTTCGAATCATCACTGTCTGAGGAATCCTGGCCGTCCCCATTGGAACCTAAACCAGGATCACTAAACCGTCTTTGATCCTGACTATCATCAACACTCGAAGCAGTCATATCAACCGGTGGGAGGCTTGTAAATTGTAACTCTGAAGGAGTATTTGCAGGTTTTGCTACTACAGACGTTTGTGTGGTATGATTTTGCCTTGAATTGAAACATCGTTTCCTATTTGGGAATGTATTTCTAGGAACGTTATAATTAGGTTGTGGAATGTACTGGTGGGATTTAGTGGTGGAATGGTTGTAGTAGGGTAATGATGAGGGTTCCATAAGGAAAGGATTTACAGGTACTCCGAACCTGCAGAAACTTGGGTCTGATATTGCAGAGTGTATACGTTGTTGATGCATCGGATTCATGTGGTAAAAGTTAGGTGGGTAGATGTTTTCACTGAAGTCTGAATCGTTTTCTATTACATCTTGTTGTAAGGCTTTGTCAACCCATTCTTGCAAGTATTTATTTTTTTTCTCCTGCTTTTTCTTACGTTTGCCCAAAGAACTGTTTGTCATATTTCTCACTGTTTCTTTTTTATTATTTTGTGTGGTGATTTGTGTGTTTTCAGATACGTAATTGCGAGTTCTAAATTAGATTAAAAATAAATTGAAAACAAGATCACATGATAAGGAAGAAAGATTAGAGAAATCGTGTAAAATACCTTGAAACGTCTTTATCCATTTTTCGGGCACTAATTAAGGCACTTGATTAAACAACTTATAAAAAAATGTTTTGATTTAAATTATTTTGCAAGCAAACACATAAATAAGAAATGTGTTGACGTATTTTAAAATATTGACAACACCTTCACACGAAACGTCAACTGATCACCTTCATCATTTGTAAACTATGAAGTTATTTCAAAACAAACCTGAAAGCAACGTTAGAATTTGAATGACATAATAGGAGCGCTGGTAAGAAATGAATTATGTTAAATAGATCATATAACAATTTTGAATAATGTTTATTAGTAATATAATAACACTCGTAATGCACACAATTATAAATTATATATCTATAATATCATTAAAAATACTTGTAATATTTGAAAATATTAATGTAATTAGGGACACACTTCAGACATGATCGGTTTGTCATTGTAATTAGCATTTAGGACTTAAACCTTTATTATAAAATTAAAGTAATTGCTAATTAATAAATTCTATAATATTCACTTACACACTGAACTTTTAACAATCTTGAATAATTCTATTAACACTATCAATATAAAAATTGCAAATATGTCGATTATAAAGTACATCTCTATATTATTGATACATACACCTACACAAACTATTGTTGTGCTTGATCTCTTGTTTAGAGTAATAAATCTAAATATCAATTTATTCTGCATTATGAATTCCATATTATGTATTTTTACTATTACTATATATTTTTTGTTTATATAATGGCGATCTTATTGCACAAAATACTTAAGAACGTTTATATTAACAAGAGATGACGACTGAATCCATCTGAGGATATATTTCTTTCGAGTAAAATAACGCTTATAATTTATTTTTTATATATTTTTGAACGTATTTTTATATATATATTTTTGAAAATTTTGAAAAAAAATCTGAAAATTTTGAAATTTGTTTATGAACTTTAAAAATTAAAAATTTTAGTACGAAACCTAAAAAAAATGTAACAAAATTAGTCCACATATTTAAAATCTCTGTAAAATATCTGATAATTTGATGTGCAAATGTTTAATGATCATTTTTGGCCGTCAACTAATATTTTTTGTTACTTTTTCCTATGTATCAATCATATATTTTTATATATATTTTTGAAAATTTTGAAAAAAAAATCTGAAAATTTTGAAATTCGTTTGTGAACTTTAAAAATTAAAAATTTTAGTACGGAACCCCAAAAAAATTTAACAAAATTAGTCTACATATTTAAAATCTCTATAAAACATCTGATAATTTGATGTGCAAATGTTTAATGATCATTTTTAGCCGTCAAATAATATTTTTTGTTACTTTTTCCTATGTATCTCCGAAACCTCTAGACCTGTCTTACCAAGAATTTTACCAGTTCTTCATTTCATCGATACAAGTAAAATGTTTTTTGAATCATTAAAATCAGATACTACAATCTATCAAAAACTCGATTTCTATTTTTTTCACTTTCTGCTCCGTATCTCTGAAACGGCTGGACCTACCTTTGCCAAAAACTAATCAGCACATCTCCCTATCAATAGGAATCGAAAGTTTTTCGAATTATTCAAATCGGTTTGAACCGTGCGCCCAAAAATGTGGATGAAAAATTGTATCCATACATACATACACACACATCAATTTTTTCTGAGGTATGCCAAAATGTTCAGAAACCTCTAAAACGTGAAAATAAGCAACAATTTTCATTTTTGATTTTTTGACGATTACATGTAATTGCAATTACTTACCCTATGGGAAGTTAAAAATATTGTGTATTATATTATTAATATTAAAATTGTTTATGTAGAGTATCTATAAATGAGCTAATATTTTTATTTACATTCAAACAAAACTTTTTATTTCGATTTCTAGTTTCGAATGTACGCCAGCGCTCCGACTACTACTGCGCAGTTGCGATTCCAACGTCCATTGATTTTTTGTTCTGTATTTATCAAGTAGTCTGATTGTGCGCACATATTTTAAATTGCTCTAATATGTTGTGATTTGTTTCATAAATATTTTAAGTGTTTAAATAAATTCAATTAAATTCCATGGTCGACCATCGCCAACGTAATAATAAAGACATTCGTTCCTCCCCTCTGGCAATACTTCCACAGTGGCAATCGATACATAATTGTTTAGCTGTCAGTTTGACTGTGTGGCAAATCTGGCAATGTGGCGCTCTGTTTGACGTGTTTGGTTAGGATGTATCCGATACATTTAGCAATCGCATTTAGTTTATTTATAAGTTTTTCAAATTCTTTAGAACATAGACGTTTCGAATATAAATATTCATTCAAACCGCCTTACTTAGCGCAAAAGGACGGAACCGTTCCCTTTTGGGAGTACGGTGGAAATGCAATTGCAAGTTCTGAAAATGTACGTATTGCACCTTCTCTGAGAAGTCAAAAAGGAGCGATATGGACAAAATCAAAAACCAACTTCGACTGGTGGAATGTGGAGATTGTGTTCAGGATAACCGGTCGTGGACGTATAGGAGCCGATGGTTTAGCCTTCTGGTACACAGAAAGCAAAGGAGCTTATGATGGTGATGTTTTTGGCAGTTCTGACATGTGGAACGGTTTAGGCATATTTTTCGACTCTTTTGACAACGATAACAAACATAACAACCCATATGTTATGGCTGTTGTCAACGACGGTACCAAAAAATTCGATCATCAAAACGATGGTGCCTCCCAAATGTTAGCCGGTTGTCTGAGAGACTTCCGTAACAAACCTTTTGCAACTAGAGCTCGCATAGAATACTTCCAAAACACACTCACTGTACTCTTCCATAACGGTATGACAAACAATGAAGCTGATTACGACATGTGTTTGAGAGCTGAAAATGTTTACTTGCCTAAAAACGGTCATTTTGGTATATCTGCTGCCACTGGTGGCTTAGCCGACGATCATGATGTTTTCCATTTCTTAACCACATCCGTGCATGTTGGTCAAGCACCTGAGGGCTTACCAGGACAACAACTCACCGAAGAAGAACAGTTGAAATTGTCACAAGAGTACCAGGAATATCAACGTAAATTGGAACAACAAAAAGAAGAATACCGCAAGGAACATCCTGATCACAATAAAGAGCGAGAACCTGATATGGATGACTGGTTTGAAAGCGATAATCAAAGAGAGTTAAGGCAAATCTTCCAAGGACAATCTGCTATGGCTGATATCATGAAAGATTTATCAAGAAAATTAGATGAAGTAATCGGCAGACAGGAAAGAACTTTGAGTCTGGTATCTCAGGGGCAACCCATGGCTCAGGTTCAAGGGGGTGCTCCAGTTGCTGTAAACGACGGAATTAGACGCCATGAAGTAGATTTATTAATGAACAGTATAAACGCTTTGGTAACAACTATTCGGGAAGTTCGCAGCATTGTAGGTGAAGTCCATGCAAGGAGCGATGCCATACTCAGCAACCAAGGACGAGCATCGTCTGTACAAAATTCTGGAGGTGGTATTGCATATGATGTCCAAGCTTTGATCGGAGAAATGAGAGACGGTATGAACACAATGAAACAAGGCATGGCTGGATTGAGTCACAAAATGGATAATAATCCTTCTGCGCAAGTTCAATGCCCTACACAAAATTGTGTAAGTGTAACCATATTTTTGGTGGCCGTAGCTGTGCAATTGGCCCTCATGCTCGCATATTCTTTGTACAAAGATAGTAAAGAAGCTCAAGCAAAAAAATTTTACTAAATACACAAACGGAAGAAATAGCCATATGAAAGACAAGCATTCCATTGCGGGGCAGTAAATGATCAAAAGTGAGCTAGATACTCTTTTTTTTTAAATGTATATAAATACAATTTTATATTTATTATTCAAATACATAGTGTTCTATGTGTTAATTGGGTCTTTGTAGAAATTTAGCTTGGAATAGTTTTACATTAAATTAGTTTAATATATAATATTTATATTTTTCTTACTTGTGAATAAATACATGTACAGAATATACGTACTTATTTATGTATGCATATATAAAACAGGCATTTTTGCAAAAAAACTGATTTAAAGACTAAAAACATTTTAGTTAATTACATTCATACATATATTTGGGGAATTGTTAATAGTTACATGTTTTGTTTTCACATCTTTTTTACATGATGTTTATATGATTGATAAGAATTTGATAATAAAACTATTTTTGAAAATATGTATTTTATTACACATAATTATTTATTCTTTTTTTTATTCTCTTTATTGAATTACAATCTTTTTTTACAAAAAGGAAGACATTCAGTAATTTTGATGATATATGAAATATTAAACATTAGGTCTAAAAGGTTACCCAGTAGTAAGCCTTTTCAATTTTGATATATTAAATTTAAATTTTGTGATTATATAGAGTAAACTTAAAAATAAAAGGATCTATGAGGTAATGAGTATAAATTTACACATAATTATTGAATAAAAATTATTATTTCTTTTTATCAGCTAGAAAATTTTATGGTGAGAAAATTCTCTCACATGCATTTCTTATCAAAACATTAAAACAATAATAGCTCTAAATTTTCTGTAAAATAACACGTAATGCTGATAGATTACATTGTTAAACAATCGTGTTTTATGTAGAATTTTATACACCGATTTTGTTATCAGCATAAAGCAATTACATAATGCGATAAAGAATCGCTACTTTTTGTTTACAAAAAATACGAACAAGAATTTATGTATTTATGGCGATAAATTGAATTGATATCAGCAAAATTTGCGTGATTCATAAATTAAATTTAAATTTGCTTGCATAGTCTATAAATTAAGTATAATTTTAAATGACAATATGCTTTTTTAGATTATTATTAATTATTCAAATTCAAAGTCATTAGTCAGATTATTTTTTCAAATTTTTAGAAATTGAAAATTATATTTAATAATTTATATAAATATTACTCTTGGTCTAAAAATACATGAATTTCCATTATCTTCTACAATGTATTCATATCACTTCTAATTTAATTCAATATTTTTTTAATTGAACAAATATATTTTTTCTGATTTATACAACTTGTATAAATATTTAAAATTTATACAATATTTATTTGCCCAACGCAAATAAATGCCTCTGTCTCGACTATAAAGTAAATATTATTAATTGAAACAATTTATTCATGAAGATATCGTGGTATTAGAATTCATTTTTTAGAGTTTTTTCTATTTATAAAAATATATTGCTATTAGTAAATGTGCTGATTTTATAATTTTTTATATTATTTTAATAGACGCGTGTTCATATTTTTTATGATGTATAAAATTTGCCCGAAGCCAGTATATTTATAAGGCATACAAGATTTCATATATAAATATTTTGCATATAATTCAATTTGATAATTATTTTGTTAAAAAAAATATTCTTATTGTAATATGTTTGTATTTTCATAAAAGTGTTGTTTTATTATAAGTATTTATAAATTTTAATAACATATCAATCTTTCTGGAGAAAAAATCCAATTTACTAATTGGAAATGAAATTTAAAAGGTTAATCAAATTTAAGTTTCAAACTTTTCTTAGTAATGCAAAATATATGCATATTTTATCAGAATGTGGATTTTACTATAATTTCTAATAACTAAATATTTAGTACAGTTTTAATGTTTTTTATTAGCATTTATTCAGCCTACTATTTACAAATTATCCATTTACATAATTCATATAAATCTATATTCTAATTTGACCATTATGTATCTGCTTTTAATTCTTGAATACTTAATTTTAATTAAAACTATAAAACTATATAACTTAATTTTAACTAAAACTAATAACTTATTTAAAATGTCTACATTCTAAAGACTTTATAACTTATATGTTAATAATGCAACTTATCAATTTTTATAAATTATTTTATTATTATTGATAAAGTATGCTGACAAGGATAAATAACGTTACAAATAGTGTTTGTCAGTTTTTACGAAAATTTATTAATTCGAAAACCGGTTTTTCAGCGTAAAAAATTGGTTTTTACTGTATAAATAAAAAGTGATCAATATCTAATATTTGTATTATTTAATTGAAAGTTCAAAGTTTTTTATTTAAAAATTTATTATTTTTATTTATTCGATTTTTTTTCTTTCACTATCATAAAAATATTTATATTCTCCTATGTGAAAATAATGTATGAATAACGAATAATCATTTTCAAAGTTATTTAATCCAGATAAACTATCATTTCTTTGTTCTATTAATTAAAATTGAAATAAATTTGTTTACTATTGATAAAATTGAACGTTAAATAAATTTAGTCGAAAACTACTTTAAATCACACTTAATTGCCAATTTTAATTAATAGTATTTTATGTCATTACAGAATATTCGAGCAAAAATTGATTTTCTGTATGAAATTCGAAAACCGGTTACCTGGGAAATTTATAATTCGAAAACCGGTTTTCTAAAATGTCGGTTTTTGTATAAACTCTAGTTACTTATTTAGGTCATCTCACTTAAAAATTTGGTCTTAATTATTTTCTTCAATGTTTTATTTATAAGGCGGTCAGTTTAACTTAAGTTTATATTAAGTTATGCTCGAGTGTTCGTTATTTTCTCCATATGGTCGTATATGAGACGAACAGGAGAACTTAAACCTCACCGGAACTAGGGTTCAAAATCTCCGGAAACACGAATCCTCCGAGCCTTAACTTGTTTCTGAAACTACAGTCTGGCAAGTTTCAACTTAGTCTCACCTTAGCATGTGCTGTATATATTGTTACAGAATATTAATAGAAACACACATATGTACCATATAACTTAATAACTTTAATAGACATCATTTTCTTTTAAAAGTTCAATTATCAATTACTACCTTCTCCTGAAATAGCCCCGAAGCTTTCAAAACGAATAAATACAACTATGTTACAAAGCAATATTCTTACATAAGAAATCGCCTTCCATCGGGGGCGCCTGGCTTAGAATACTACTCCGTGTATTCGAGGCAATAAAATATATGACTCACAACATTTTCCTCGGAAGAAAGTCCGAGATATTGAAATGATAGTATGCAAAGTGGAAATCCTAGCATTTAAATTGAAAAACATCAGAAAATACACCCACATACACGGCTTAGAGCTCCGGGCAACTTGCGCCGCATGGTAGGAAGGAAATTGGGATAAAAGAAATATAATATATATATATATATACACATATATATATATATATATATATATATATATTAAGAAAATAATATCAGCTCATTATCTGGTCTATTTACATTTTTAATGTATATTCAACGGTAAATTATTGTGTTTACACGATGATTAACTCCGGCTGCGAATTGAGCTAGATAAATATGTTTATGGTTTACGACAATAAACTTACATGATAAAAATCTTTATTGGTTTTGTATTTACTGCATTTGTTTTATTTTGTAGTGAATGCTTTTTAATCATTATTAATTGAATCAATAAACTAGTGGTGTATGGCATTGTGCCTTAAGGCATTTTGCTGGAACTTCCCGTACCGTAACGAAATGTTCGAAGAATATTAAATAGATTTTCAAATAAATTTTTATAAATATTGTAACATTGAATACGTTCTTTTATTATTCTTTGGAAATAAATAGAAAATTCGGAACATTTTTTTTATTGACAAATATCTCACAAATATTATATGAAAGCACCCCTTTTCAGTTAAATAGGGAGAAACTAGATAAAATTTAATACGATTTAATGACAAATGTTATATACACCCCGATATAAAAATTTAGAATAAAATGACTTTGAATTCAATCTTTTATTATTCTTTGGAAACTAAATAAAATAAATAAATAAACTAAATAAAAACTCGATTTCTATTTTCTGCACTTTTCGCCTCTTATCTCCGTAACGGCTAGACCTGCCTTTGTCAAAAACTAATCAGTACATCTTTCTAGCAATAGGAATCGAATGTTTTTTGAATCATTCAAATCGGTTGATCCGTGCGCCCGAAAACGTGGACGAAAAAATGCGGACATACAAAACACACTCACACACATTTATTTTTTCCAAGGTACGCCAAACTGTTCAGAAACTTTTAAAACGTAAAAAATGCAAAAAAATTTATTTTTGATTTTTGATTCATTACTATAACTACCCTAAGGGAAGTTAAAAAAAATTATATTATTAACGATACTATTATTTTTTTCTGAATGTTCAGAAACCTTCAAAACCTGAAAAAGTGTAAAAAAATTCAATTTTGATTTTTGGACGATTACAATAACTTACCCTACGAAAAGTTGAAAAACAAACTTTTACGATTTTTTTAGGTACTAAAGATACACGTAATGTTTAGTGAGAGTGAAGGGGTAATGCAAAATTCACCACAAGATAGAGTTCAAATATCCTTTGAAATTGCTCTTTTGAATAATGAATTAGAAATGATTAACATATTAGGAGCCTACGACAAGTGGTTTTCGATAAGACACGATTTTGTGTCTGATGAACCAAGGTAAATCAGCCCCTTCAATGATAATCAGCCAAATTTTTTCAATCCCTTTACAATTTTTGACTTTCAACTCCAACCTCCTCCTCGGTTTCGTGGCAAATCGTAAATTTCGCGAGGGCATTTGATTGAGCCATAAATCGGCGAGGCATAAACGCCAGGGCCCCCGTTCGCTTTTATTAATATTAGCTATACACATGTCGTAGGTATACACCAGTAAAATATCGCCATGGAGAGAAAAAATTGTGTTGTTCGTAAATATTTCGCGGAGCGCCCGTTTTCATACCTCGACAGGTGCTTTTAACGACGTCGAATTTTCTTCGAAGGAAAGAAAACGCCGAGGTCGCCGAGACGAGAGCATCAGCGCTTTTAATAATGTTACTGCAGGATTTTTTTTTTACTTTTCGTGTTGATAAGTCACAAATTTGATTTTAATGGAGACGGAGAATGGTGATGAGAGGTAATGAGAGCGATTA